CCTGAGAAAAGGAGTCTATCCTGGCTTCCGAGTGTGAGGATAGAAGGAGGACCCAGTGTTGAGCTGGGCTCTGAGCTCACTGCCCCAGGGCCTGGACAAATCTACCGATTGTTGTTATTATAATGAGAGTCGCCTGCATGAGTCATTAACTAAGCTAGAGAGATGCAGCGGAAGGGGGGGAGAGGAGAGGGGAGAGGCATCCTACACTAGGGATGGAAGGAGAGCTTTCCTCCTCACGCGCAGGGAGCCAGGAATGCAAGGCACGGGGACCACTCTTCATTCCCTGGCTCAGTCAGAGGCATAAAACAGTGCAATGAGGGGGAGCGGAGCCCAGTAGGTCCAGGGCACCTTGAAGATACTAAATTCTGCTTTGAGTTTTCAGGGTATGAGAAGGGCCCTGGTGGGCTGTCCAATGGGCAGGGGACATTTGCAGAGAGGCCTGGAGAAGTGGACAGCACCACCCCCTCCCCCCAGCCCCTCCCCCAGAGGGGAAGAGAGGGCTCCAGAAAGTGCAATGGGCCGAGATGCCACCGGAGGGAGCAGGAAGCAGGGGCAGGCCTAAGGGAGGGCACTGGATTTAGGGACTGGAGATGGCTTGGTGCAGCTGATGCCAGGGCAGAGGCTGGAAAGTCGAGTGGGACGGGAGGGAACAGAGAACAAGGAAAGAGCGCTTCTTTGCAAAGTTCTCGTAAGAAGGGGTGTAGAGCCCTGGTTGGTGTGGCTCCGCAGATCAAGCGTTGGCTTTCGAACCAAAGAGCAGCGGTTGAATTCCCAGTCAGGGCACATGCGTGGGTTCCAGGCCAGGTGCCCAGTAGGGGGCGCACAAGAGGCAACCACGCATTGACATGGGGTTTCTTTCTCTACCTCTCTCCCTCCCTTCCCCTCTCTGTAAAAATAAATAAAATCTTTTAAAAAGAAAGAAAAGAAGGGGTATAAAGAAGAGGAGGCATGAGAAAGTCAGTTGGGGAGAATTTCTCCATAGGAGGGGAAGCCGCTCTTGCTGAGGCTGCCAGGAGGAGCCTGTGGGAAGTGGAGGTGCCCCGAAGGGTTGCCAGGGCGGGGTCTGAAACCCCCAGCAGGAGGGTGCCTTGTGTTTTCTTTCTTGTGGGCACTTCCTGCCATGTGACACGGAAGAGACTCAGGGAGGCTGTGTGTGAGGGAATTAACCAACCAATGGGATAATCAAAAGTACAAGGCCCAGCACTGACTGGTGGCTCAATGGGTTGGGTGTCCACCTGCAAACTGAAAGGCCACTGGTTCGATTCCCAGTCAGGGCACATGCCTGGGCTGTGTGCCAGGCCCCTGGTTGGGGGAGTGTGAGAGGCAACCAATCAATGTTTCTCTCCCTCTAAATATAAATAAATAAATCTTTAAAAAATTTTTCAAAGTACAAGATCCAGTCCTTTTTCTCCAGGAGCTGGCTTTGCAAGAAAGACAAGAGGAAGCGCAGTGTTCATGGTGCGTGGGCAGAGCTGTGGCACAGGGAAAGGGGGGAAGGGAGGTCTCAGTCGGAGGGAAGAGGGCCAGGTGTGACATGGGGACGCCTGGCAGAAGCTGCGCGGGTCAGGCTGGCCTGCGGGAGGGTGACAAACACTGCGAGCCATGTGGCGGCCTGCTGGCTTCACACCCTGCATGAGGGTCCTGGGGCTGCCACAACAAACTGCCCCAAACTGGGGGCTTACAACGACGGCGACACATCCTCTCCCAGTCCTGGAGGCCAGGAGTTCCCAGCAGAAGTGTCGGCAGGGCCACGCCCCCTCTGAGGGCACCAGGGGAGGATCCTTCCTGCCTCTCCCAGCTCTGGAGTGACTGACAGTCCCAGGCTTTCCTTGGCTTGTGGCCACACCCCCCAGTCTCTGCCCCAGGTGTCGCAGGTCATTGGACTACAGCCCGCCCCCCTCAGTGTGACTCAGCTCAGCCACTCACATCTGCAAAGACCCCGTCTCCAAAGAAGGCCACTTTCTGAGGTTACGGGGGGGGGGGGGGGGGGGGGGGGAGGGTGTACATTTTGGGGACACTGTTCAACACAGCGCAGCCCCCAAGAGTGGTGGAGCTGAGAACTCAAGAGGGATCTGACCTGGGACAGAGACAGCTGTGCTGCTCAGAGCAGGGACACAGGCCCCCCCCCCCCACACACACACAGGAAGGGACGTGGAAGGACCAGCAGAGCCTCAGGGGGCCGGTCAGAGGTCAGAGCCAGTGTGGGGAGTCAGTGGGAAGCTGGGCGGCAGCCTGGCCCAGACGCAGTGAGGACAGTGTCTGTACTTTATCTGCAGGAGCCCCAGGTGCAGAGAAGCGTGGGGAGGGGCTGGCAACGAGCACAGGGAGGTGGGGCACCCGGGACCAGCCCACCAGCCCCCAGGGGTCCCTGCACCCCTGGCCTCCGGGGAAGGAACGGCAGCCTGTCTGGGCCCCGCCCTGCCTTTCAGCCCTCAGGCCAGGTTACTCCCCTAACAAGAGACAAGTGGGTGTGGCTGCAATCCCACTTGCGGGACAGAAGACAGACACTCGGGGAGGTCAGGTCACTTGCTCAAGGTCACACAGCAGGGCTGGGGTTTGAACCTGTGTTTAGCCAATTCTAAAATTTTTGCTTTTATATATATACACGTGTGTGTGTGTGTGTGTGTGTGTGTGTGTGTGTGTGTGTGGCTCTTCACTTCGAAAACCTCGGAGTGCGTCCCACGGCACCGGCTGTCAGCTCTGCTGCTGCTGTTTCCCTGGCCCCTCCCCCTCTTCCCGCCCGATCTCTCACGGCTGTTGTGGTTATTAGTTTCTTATTTCTTTTCTCGAGGTAAAGTGTAGATACAAGGGAATGTGCAATTAGTAAAATGCTCTGTATTCCATACAGTTTTATTTGTACTGTTTTTTTTTCTGGTTTTGGGTTATCTCTGTTTTCTTCCTTTTCTAACCATGAGCAGGTAGTGTATATAATAAGGGGAAAACAATAAATGAGGAGAATGTTTAAGATGTCCTTGGGCAGATGCCCTGTCCCTCCGTTCAGCCACAAGGCTCGAGACGCCTAGATTTGCTCTGTGCTTTTTCACACACCCGTCCTAGTGACCAGGTCTCCCAGGACCCTGCCTGCCCTCCCAGACCCCTGGGGAGGGCCTGGTGACCTCCTCGAAGAAAGCGGGGTCAGCACGTAAGACCCACAAACACAGCTGGGCCAAGGGCTGAGACCCAGGTAAGCTGCCCTAAATCCACTTCCCTGCCACCTCCTGGGGACCCACTGCCCTGTTCCATAAGAGCCTCCACCTTCAAGGGGAGAGTGAGGGCCTCTGGGGGGCTCCCCCCGAGCAGGCCAGGCTGGGCAGGCCCCCTAACCCACTGGGAGAAGCTGGCTTGGGGAGGGGTTGCCAGGCAACCAGCAGAGTCTCCTCCCAGGACAGCAGGTGTGGCCACGTTGCCCAGCAACCAGGTGGCCGCTGTCTCTTGAGCCAGGGCTACACAGCTGCGCCCAGCCCTGCCCTGCTTCTCAGGGGCCTGCAGGACCCCTGGGGCCCTGTCCTCGTTCCCCATGACCAGGACAGCTGGTGCCTCTGGTCACCATGAACACAGTTCTCTGCAGGTAGGTGGCCCTGTGCTGGTGCTGGCCCCGGCTGGGCGGGAGGGAGGGGTAGGCCGGTTTTCAGGGCCCCACGCACCAAGGCAGAGGGGGCAGCTGGCATTGCTTGACCGAGAAGAAGTTGGGGAGGTGGGGGTGGAGAGTGAGCTTTCTCCCACACCTCGCCCACCTCGAGGTCCCGGGAGACAGGGCTCAGGGCCACAGGGGCTCCCAGAACACGGTCTCTGTCGCCTCCCCGGCGCTACTGCCCACAGCTCTGGGGCAGCCAGGTTCACAGGGCTTGTCCCCAACTTCCCTCACTCGCCCCCACCTGGAAACCCCCTTCACACCTCAAAGCCCCACCAGGCATCGCCCCTTCTGTGGAACTGTCCCAACCCGCTCTCTGGCCTGGTTCTGTCACTGCTCTCGCACAGCCTGCTGGCCAGGTACGCTGGTGTTCCCAGGCCTGGTCCCTGTGAGGGTCCAAGCTCCAGGGTGTCTCTGAATCACCTGATGCACTCCTTTAAAAATGCAGCCCCCGGGGCCTCTGTCCAGGGAGTCTGGCTCCCGGGTCTGGGCTGGGGGCCTGGGAAACCACACGGTCAACTTGCAACTCGGGTGGTTCTGACGGAGGGGTCTGGACCTCCCCCATAGCAGCTGATGCACCTGGCAGCTGTGTGACCTGCAGCAAGGTGCTTCCCCTCCCTGGGCCTCAGCTGACTCATGTTAAAACAGGGCTAGGAATAGCGCCTTACTTCTAGGGAAATGCACGCGGAGTGTTTCACACACTGTGAAGTGGTGCGTGAGTTAGGGTTGTTGAAAGGAGGACAGAGGGCCCTCTGAGTTTCCAGCTTTGGGGATGTGATCGGAGGGCTGCACCAGGGACTTTGGTCTCCTGGAGAGAGGCAGCATTTCCCTGGGGACAGGGGCTCACGGAGTAGAGGCCCAGGAGGGAGGTGAGTGCCCCAGGCTGTTCGGAGCAGACTGGGTTCAGCTCGCTCATTCCTCACACTCCCACCGAACACCTAGCTCTTACCCCAAGGCCGGAGGGTGAGAGAAACCAAGGCTGACAGGAAGTGATCAGTGACAGCCAAGAAGGAGAAGCTAAAGCCTCAGGCTGGGGGACGGAGGGGGAGGGAGGGAGGGAGGGAGGGAGGGAGGGGAAGGGGATGAGTGGAGCACAGGCCTTTCAGGGCAGTGGACCCACTGTGGTGGACGCTGTGATGGTGGACACGGCAGTGTGCATTTGTCAAAACGCAGGGAGTATGCGACACCGTGTAAACCAGGGTTTTAGTTAATAATGCATCACTGTTGGCTCATCTTTTGTAACAAATGTTCTCCAGTGATGCAAGATGTAACTAACGGGAAGTGTGCGCTGGGGAGGGGGCGCAGGGGAACTCCCTGTACTTTCCTCTGGGTTTTCTGTCCACCTAAAACTGGCCTCTCAGAAAGTCCTTCAGGGTTCAGAGGAGGAGGAAAATTTCAACGGCTTGAGCAAAAGAAAGAAAAGGGGGAATGTCAGGGGGAAAGGCGAGGGAATGCGGATGAACTCCGCCAGGGAGGCAGGGGCCCCTCTAAAGGGCTGCAGGAAGGAGAAGGCGGGTTTGGAGCCAAACCTGCGTTGGCTCCCCTGCTGGCCACTGGCCAGCTCTGTGAGCCGGTGGGTCTCCGGGGCCTGCCTGGATTGGGCTGGCACCTAACCTTGAGTGTTGTCCCAGGGACCGGATGCCTGCCATAGCGCTCTCCACCCAGGAGGAAGGCGAGGGGGTGGTGAGCTCCATATCGCTGCCCAGACATCCCCTCAGGCCCCCACCTCCTCAGGGACAGCCAGGTGCGGATGATGGAGAACACGGTGACCCATGCGGAGAAGTACTTCGGCCAGTTGTGCTCGCTGCTGGCTGCCTACACCCGGAAGACCGCCCGGCTGCGGGACACGGCCGACCGGCTTGTCCTGCAGCTCATCGACCTCGCCAGCACGGAGGGCCCCGAGATGCGGGCCACCCTCAGGGACTTGGCCGAGGACCTGGCCAAAGTGCAGGATTACCGGCAGGCCCAGGTGAGCAGGGTGAAACCGAGGCCCGTGGCCGGTTTCAGAAGGCTGGGGAGGCCCTGAAGGGCCACAGCAAACGGATCTCTCCTTGGGGTGTGGGGGTCACCCCTCCGTTTGTAGGACTGAGAGTGGGAGGCTTTTGGCGTCAGACAAACAGCAGATGCCAGTGCCTGCTGCCGGGGGGGCTCCCTGCTCCCTGGGCAGGAGGTGCATTCCAGGGGCCCAGGGGGCCTGGGGAGGGGACAGGCGTTCTGGGGGTGGGCCAAGGAGACTGCGGTGTGTTAAGAAAATAATTAAAAAGCGAAGAAACCTCCTGCCAGCCCAGAAAACTCCTCTCCATGGTTGTAGAAAAGAACAAAACAGCTTTTCTATTAAATGAGTGTTAAACCAGAACTCGTGTGCATCACAGGAGACCTGGTTAGTGATGGACAGACAGACAGAACCTCACCCCAGGACAGCCAGGCACTGAGAACCCCTCACATGCACAGGGATGACGGTGATGACGGCTTCCAGGAAGGGACTCGGCACCATTTGTCACACAGGACCTCCCAATTCCTCCTGGTGGTCCGGTGGCCACCTGGCTTAGCTAATGGTCTTTCTCCAAAGGGGGAGTAAAACTTCTCACATTTCCAGGACAGCAGGGCATTACAGCTGGGAGCAGGCGGGTGCCAGGGAGACGCTGTCTTCCCTGGTGTTTGCATTTCAGAAAGACAGGACTGCCATTCCTGGGGCGTCAAACCCCAGGAGGCTTGGTTAGCTTCTGAAAAGGTTCAGATACCTCTCAAAGGTTGGAGAATAAATTTACAAGGACAGATTTTCTAAAAGAAATGTTTTCAGGAAAAGGTAGGTAAAGTCCCTTTCCTTTTTAGCACCAGGGAATTTTTTTTTTTAAGATTTGTGTTTAGCCTCCAAGGGTCACAAGCCTCCCTGAAGGAGAAGGAAGGGGCTGGGGGGATGTGCAGCCCCCCAGGCCTAACTAATGAGCCAGATGGTCAGGGCGCCCATCCTCAGGGCATCGGCCTCACCTGGAAGCTAGTCTTGTTAGAAATGCAGGTTCTCAGGCCGCACCCTGGACCTGCTGAGTCAATCTCTGGGGTGGCACCTGGCAATCAGGGTTTTCGGGAACCCTTGAGGGGCACCCCAGGCCTGTCCAGGGTGACACCTCTTGATTCCAAACGATGCTGGGTATGGGGTAAGTGCTTAGCATCAGCTTTAATTGTGATTGGTATCATTACTACTGACACCGTTTATTTAAGTGCCTGGTACGATTAGGCTTGGCTCGTAGGCACCAGGGCCGACGTGTGAGGCGTCCCCCTTGCTGACGCTGCTGCGTGGGGGCTGCACGCACAGTCAGCGCTGAATCCCAGGCCGTCCCGTGTTCCGAGTGGGTTTCCATGGCCGCCCAAGTGAGATCCCCAGCCAGTCTGGAGAACTAAAACAGCAACAGGTCCCACTGCAGTCCCTGCCCCAGAGCCAGTACAGTCATTATACCCATTTCCCAGGTGAGAAAACGAGGCCCAGTAAGATGCACTGTGTTGCCCAGGCTGGTGCTTCCAACCCTAAGGGGGAGGGAGGGCTTCCGAGCTCCTGCCCCGCACGGCCCCGCCTTGCAGCTCTGTGCCTGCTGACACTAGAAATGAAGGCTGGAGGTCACGTGGTCTCCGGGCGCTTCCCTGCCTCCATCCACCCCGATTCTCCGCACGCCTGTGTTCCCCCAGGTCGAGAGGCTGGAGGTCAAGGTGGTCAACCCCCTGAAACTCTACGGGGCGCAGATAAAGCAAACTCGGGTGAGCCAGGGCACTGCACTGCCGGGTGGGCCGTGTCTGTGGCTGCCCGCGCTGGAGCCCCAGGAAAGAGCCCCCCCTCCTTCTTTAGGCCGAGATCAAGAAATTCAAACGTGTCCGGAATAACGAGATCAAACAGCTGGAAAAGCTGGAGAAACTGAGGCAGACGTCACCTTGGGATAGGCAAACCATCGTATCCTTCCCTGGAGTTGGGCTGGGACCGCTGGGCCAGGGTGACTATGGGTCACAGGCGCCCTCTGGTGGAAGCTTCTGGTTAACCTGGCTCCTTAACAGCACCTCCCTCAGTCCCAGGTGAGGGTCACATGTCTGTCTGGGGAAGGTAGACTGCACACAGGTAATGAAAGATCTCACAAAACAGCGCCGTGAGCTTTTCCCTGGCCAGGTATGTGCCAGGCTCAGGACAGGGAAGTCGGGGGGGTGGGTCGGGCTGGAGGGCAGCTGGAGGCCAGGAGGCCTGGGTTCTGCCCCACCATGGACACTAACCAGCAGGTCAGCAATCACTCCCCTTCTTGGGCTACCTGTTTAATGCTCGCACCAGCTTGGCACTTCTAGATGAGGAACCCAGGCCAAGAAAGGGGACTTGCCCAAGGTCTCAAGGAAGCTAGGAATTGGTTCATGGACTTAAGAATGTTCCACAGGCAGGAATTAGTTATTGTTGAAAGGAGAGCACCTGTTAACAGTGATAGCTCAGGGGGTGCCCACTGCTTACTTCTTTCAACTTTGCAAAATAGGTCTCATCATTGTCCCCTGTTTACAGGCAAGAAAACTGAGGCTCAGAGAGGTTAAGTGACTTGCATGAGGTCACAGAGGTAGCAAACAGGCCCACGCAGCGCCTGCCCCTTCGGCTGTGGTCCTACTCAGCCATTTCTTTGATGACCGAACTGGCAAGAGACCCCAGGGGGGGGGGCAGGAGAGCTGGCCTGCCAGCAGGACGAGGAGCCAGAGAATGGTCCTGAATGGAACTACTGCTACGTTTTCTACCCTGGGGCAGGCAGAGACCAGTGTGCAGAAGGCCTCGGGGGACACCGGCCGCACCACCCACCAGCTGGAGGAGATGGTAGACACCTTCCAGAAGCAGAAGCTGGAGGACCTGCGGGTAGGGGTGGCTGCCTTGTTTGTGTTTGCATGCGTGTGCACCTGTGTAAGAGTGTTCACGTGTGTGTGTGTTTGCTCACTCAGCTCCCAGCACAGTTAATCCTAGCCTAATCCTGGCCAAGGGGGCAGGAGGCCGGCTGCTCAGGGCAGCTGTCGCTCCCAGCTGGCCTGCCCAGAGCCACCCAGGCCCAGCTGCCCAGCAGGAGAACGTGGCAGAGCCAGTCTTCCCCAGCCCCCTCTCTTTCCACACAAGGACGCACAGGACTTGCCTCAACTTTCTCCTTTTCTCCATGAAGCTCTAAGTGCACAGGTGCCTCCCTTCTTCTACCCGGACGCCGCCCCAGGGCAACCCAGGACCCGGAACCCGGAGCCGGCTCTTATGAGAGGGCATCGGGGCCTTAAAAGACAAGCTGGTCACACCAGCCCCTGTGCCCGCAGGACATCGCCGCTTTAGTCCATTTTCCAAATGGCGGCCTCCAGGATCTCAGCAAAGGCAGTTCCGCCCCATCACTCCTGGGTTTAACACCCTCCTGTGGTTCCCTTTGTTCCAAGGATAAAGGCCAACACCCTCTCCAAGGCTCTGGAAGCCCAGCCTCATCATAGCCCCTCTACTACTCCAAGCTCAAGGGTACCAAGCCCCTTGGAACGCTGAGTCCTCTGCTAGGAAGGTTCTCCTGTCTCAGGGACAGTCGCCTGGCCCCCCAGACTGGTCCGGCCCCATTCTTAGCACACTCTTCTCTGCTCCCTCTGGGGCACTTGGCCCAGTATGACAGGTTACTTATCTCTTTAATTTACTCGTTAATCTAACAGAGGTTCAGTCCGCACCTCCTATGTGGGAGGTGCTATACCTGAGGCCGGGGACACCAGAGCCAGCAAAGCGGGGCCCCTGTCCTCACACGGTTGAGACCCTCTCTGCCACAGACCCCCACAGGCGGCGTGTCGTTCAGCGGGGAGTGCAGAGTGGGGCGCAGCGTTGCCTGTTCTAGGCCTGCCTCCCGCCACACGTCTGCAGGGCGGGCCCTGCCTATCTTGTCACCTGCTGGGTCCTGGGCACCAGGGCCAGGGCCTGGCACTTAGTGATGCTCAGTAAATATTTGGGAAGTGAATAAACGAACAGATGCACAAGTAAGCAAACAGTGGTAATTGGTACTCGAGCATCTATGTTGCACGCAGGCCCTAAAACCACCAGCTGACGATTATTAAGCACCTGACGCCTGAGGCCTGAAAGTGGGACTCTTCTGTGGGGTGCTTGCAAGAGCACACGGTTCTCAGCCTCCCTCCACGGACAGGGGCCAGCAGAAGCTGCCATTCTTTAAACTTCTGGGGTCAAACTTGTAGCAGACACTTAACCAAGCCTCCTCCTAAAAATTTTAGCCCTCCAAATTTTAAGTGACAAAAACCCAGAACTCAAATAGTGATTACTACCATATTGGTTTTAGGTCACACTTCTAATAAAAGAGTCGTATTTCCAAAGAGCTCTCCAGCCCCTATAAAAGAATGTAAGTGACGCTTCCATCCAGGAGTCCCCGTACCTGAGCATGCATCTGAAGTCACCTGGAGGGCTCTGAGCGACGGGCCTGTCCTGGATTCCCATTCCACGGGTCTCGGTGGGCCAGAGAATTGGCATTTCTGGTCAGCTCCCCGGTGGGGCTGGTTCCATGCGGGAAGCACAGGCTGAGAGCTAATTATCTCTGTCCCTGAGGTGCAGATGAATAAACTGAGGCTGGAGAGGATGCCATTCCCCAGGCCCCATGCCAGGAGGCAGGTATTTCCACCTACCTTGGGACCCTCCCTCGTTCTTCTCCCAGGCTGCCTTGCAGGCTTCTCCCAGCCTGCCTCCCCCAGGTGCTTTCCATGTTACCTGGAGCGGTGTGTTTACAAACCCCAGGCTCCTCCCCTGGGACCAAGCCCGTGTCCTGCTAGGGCCCTGAACACAAAGGAGCCTCTGCTGGGGCCTGACACACAGTAGGAGCCCCTGCTAAGGCCGAGGGGCAGTGGTAACTTTATAAGAGCTTACTGAGCCTAACTGAGCCATCTGATCAAGAGAAGCCAACATCTATTTCCATTTTGATGAGCTAACTGGTCAGGTTGTGGGGCCTCTGGGCTGGGCAGTGTCTACCAGCAGCTCCCGCCCGCTCCCAGAAGACCCACTCATAGCCCACCAGTGGCAGAGACTGAAGGTTCGAGGCCATCGGCCTGCAAACACCTGCCCTTGAAACGAGAGGAGCAAAGGCTGAGTGGCGAGTCCTGAGTGACGGAGCTGAGGAAAGGACACCCCTCAAAGTCCTCACTGAGAAATGAGTCCTCTGCATTTCTGGAATAATCCCTGTGTGGAGCAGCTTTCTAACAGGAACATGTTATCTGTTCAGTCAAACTAATTAAAAATAGCATTGGCCTAGAACCTGTCCCCAAAAGGACGACCAGCCCCCCTCACCCTGTTGGTCCACTTGCGAGGTGGCCCCGAGGACTCCCCGGGGACAGCATTGCTCACGTGACTCGCGCGTCTCTCCCCACAGAAAATGTTTTCGGACTTTGTGACTGTTGAGCTGGTGTTCCACGCCAAAGCGGTGGAGGTGTACTCCAGCGCCTTCCAGACCCTGGAGAACTGCGACCTGGAGAGGGACCTGGAGGTGAGTCACAGACACCCAGGCTCTGCTGGGCGGCGTGGGCCGAGGTCGACTCCGGCTCTCTCCTGATAGCAGCACTTTTCGTTGGCAACATTTTGTAATTTTATAATTTGAAAGACTCATTCTGATGAACTGTTGAAAACAGGGGTCCCCAACCCCCAACAGCGTCCCCCCACCTCGGACTCGAGGACCCGGAGGAACGGGGGAGCGAGGAAGCTGGCCTGAGCTCCGCCTCCTGCTTCCCGCCTCCTCCTCCCTGCCCAGGGGACCAGGGAGCCAAGCTCACCTGAGCTCCGTCTGCACCACCCCCAGACCACTGAGTCCAAGCACCTGCCCCTTGGTGCCAAGCCTAGAGGGGGGGAATTTCCAAACACTCTCCCTCTCTGGAATATCAACGTGTCCACTGTCAGTGGGTGTTTAAAAAACAAGCAATGAATCCACAATGACTAACAGCCTCTCCGGGCTGATGCTTGCCATCCTTTGGATGTTCACGAGGTGCCCGTTACCCCTCTGGACGGAGGAAAACCTAGCACTTGCTGTCTGAGTGACCTGTTCTCACCGCGCCGCCCCCGGTGGTGCGAATCAGCAGCCGCTTGTGGTGGCCTTTTGTGCTCCTAGGGTTGGTGAGCTCGGCTGGGTGGCCCTCCTCTGGGCTGTCATCAGTGTTGGAACAGTCAGTCGCTGGGGCTGGGGCCCTTCCCAAGGCTTCCTCTCTCCTGTCTGGGTGTGGGTATGGGTATGGGACATGCCAGGTGATCTGCAGAGTTCAGTGCAGAATGAAAATGTGGGCCTTCTGTTCAACAAAGATAAAAATTTCAAGACTGCGACAGCAGGTTCCTTCTGAGCACAGGGCCCTGGACAACTGCAGGGGCCACACACACCCCCAGAGCCCACCCTGTCTGGGCCTCTGAATGCCTGCCCATGACCGCTCCACGTGGCGCGGGCCTCCTCCCAACATGGCGGCTGGCCTAGGAGCAGGCCTCCGCCCCATGCAGGGCCAGAAGGAAACCGTATCTCCTTTTGTGACCTAACCTTAGAAGTAACTCAGTGTCACTTCTGCCGCATTCTATTCTTAGACGTGAGTCACTAAGGCCACATTCAAGGGGAGCAGGATTATATTTCAGCTCCTAATGGGAGGCATGTCCAAGAAGGCTTTGCAGCATCTGCTCATCTCTGTGATGTCCCTTCTGCGGTGAGAATGATCTCTGATTTTCCTGTGTGATCTGGACGCATCACCCAGCCTCTGTGGGCCTCGGGTTCTCCATCGGTAAAACAGGATGGTATGCCCACTCCCCGGGCTGTTGCAGATCCTGTAGGAGAACGAAAGGGAGGTTCCTGGCTAGGCTGGCGCAGGTTAACGGTGTCCACCACCATCTCTCCACCCCCGCCCCCTATCTTTGTTCCCGGGTTGGCTCTAACCCACCTGAGTCTCTTCGCTGCAGGATTTTAGAGCCAGGATGCGTGGAGTTTACGGGCGGCATTATGATGCTCGGCTGCTCACGGATCCCACTCCCTCTGCAGCTGTTCCGTGGTCTCTTTCTGGCCAGGTGAGTACTGGGGATGGGGCTCTTAGACCCGTGACAAAGTGAAATGACTCGGGGGAGGTCATCTGAGAACACGGGTTTGAAAGGAGACCGGGAAGGAGGCACGGCCAGCGAGTCTGACCTGGACTTGCCTAGAAGAGGAATCAATAAACCGTGGAATCCAGTGGTGCGGCCGCCATGTGTCCTGAGCTCCCCCTAGAGGCATGACGCAGTAATGTGCGCCTGAGTTGTGAGGGCTCTGGACGGTCCCCTTCTGGCTCCCCACCCCACCCCAGCCCGCCCTGGGTGGGTTTCAGACGTCAGCCATTTAGGAAAGTCACATGGCACATATGCTACGTGTAATCTCAGGAACCCAGTGAGGCCTGGGTTCCTGATCAGGCGCATTTATATTTCTGCAGGGAAACCTCTTAGCATTTAACTGAGTGGCATAAAGACTCGAAGCAGCCTCGTGACAGTAGGGTACGCTCAGTCACCCAGTGGGTGAGGGCAGAGGGGGAAGCTCGTCCCACAGCGTGTGGAGGGGGCAGGGGCATCTCTTGGCTTCCTGAATGGTTCTCTCCAAAGGCAGTGGAAGAAATATGGCCCCAGCCAGGGTGACTGACTCCAATCCCACTGCTCCCAAGCTGAGTGACTCTCAGAAAGTTTCTTAACCTCTCTGTGCCTTACATTGCTCACCTGCACAGTGGGGCTAATTACAGTACCCCCCTCGTGGGGTCGTGGTATTAGGTGAACAGATCTACACAGAGCACTTAGAAAACGCTTGGTACTGTGGCTGTGTTATTTCATTCATGCTGTTGCTGTGATGATGATTTAGAGTGCTCAGAGTGCCATCCAGAGCCACAGAAAAGAAGAGGAGGTGAGTGAGGATGACTCTGGAGAGGAGGACCTGGAGGAGGGCCCCGGGGGATGGGGCAGGCGCCCCACCAGCAGGACCAGAGCGCCCCGGTCAGAACACTAGAGGCCAACCCTGGACGCCTGGGGGCCCCTGTCGTGTGCCCTCAGCAAGTTACGTGTTCTCTGGGCTTCAGTTTTCTCTTCTGTACAACAGGGACGATCTCACTCCCCTCCCAGGTCGCTCTGGGGCCCCACGCGCCTGGTGGAGTAACAGGTGCTCAATAAACGTGGGTGCACCCCAGCCTGATTCGTGCTGCCTTTCACTTCCCACCCAGGACTGGAGCCTTGGCATTTAAACTGTGTGTGTCAGTGTCCAGTTCCCTCTTTTTGGAAGGACACCAGCCCCGCTGGAGAAGGACCTGTCCTATCCAGTGTGACCGCATCCTAACTAATTACAAATGAGTCTATTTCCAAATAGGCACATTCTGAGGCCCTGGGAGTCAGGACTTCAACATGTACGTTTTTTTTGGGGGGGCATGGTTCATCCTATAACATGTGAGCATGGTGTGCAGGGATGGCCTCGGGCCTGGGGGCATCACGGAAATCCGGGGAAATGGGGGGGTGAGGCAGGTGGGTGGGTACACGATTTTCTCATCAGCAAAGCGGGGAACACAAACTTTCCTTACATCATTGCAGGATTAACATCCCCACCACTCTGACTTTCTTACCCCAAATCCAGCTCCTTGGTGCCTCTTCAGGGAAGCCCACCCTGATCCCACCCTAGAGGACATTCCAAAAATAACTAAAGCATTCTATATTTTCTACATAATAGATAACTTATAAAGTAACTTTCATAAGTTATATATTACATAGAGTCACAATTTGACTATATATTTTATCTCATACTTCATACTATAAACATGTATATATGCACTCACATAGAAATGCACTTCTTTAAAACCTCAGCTGTGCCCCAACCCCATTGAGAGTTTCTGGGAAAATAACGCTGCTTATTCATGCGGCGGTCCTGGAGCCTGATGATCCCTGGCACATAGTAGGTGCTCATTAAGTGTAAATTGACTGTGCAAGGGGCCTCTCCCCATCCCCTCTGGCCCCAACACACCCAGAGACCGACTGTTCTAAGTGCAGGGTTGGACGGTTGCCTCGGTGCCTTCCTCCTCCCTGGGGGTCACTTGGACAGTGGCAACAAAGTTTCTAACTTCTCCCTTTTGGGCCCCGGGAGGTAGGGGAGGTAGGAGGTTGGCCGGGCAGGGACTGAAGCAGCATGACTTTCTCGGGGTCTCGCTGAGCCACACTGGGCTGGATGGTCTTCCTCCCTGTGCATCCCTTGCTTTGTCCCTCCTCATCACCGAGTAAACCTGCCCCACTGCTCCGAGCAATCTGCGCACACGTCTGAATATGGGAGAAGAGAGAACTCCCCCTGACATTCGAAGATGGCTTCATGAATGACTAAGACCCTTGTCCCAATCATGGGAAGAGGGGAGGTGCCTCTTTAGAGGAACGGAGCAGGAGGGAGGAAGCCGTGGCAGGAGGGAGCCTGGCAGCAGGCGCAGACAGGAGCGCACAGCGCAGGTCTGAGCAGAGCTGTAGCTCGTGCTCTGGAAGTGCCAGTGCTGTGTTGCGCTTGATAGAGTCGGAAATACAAGGTTGCAACTTGCACGGTAACACCGTTTGGAAGCTTCATTGTTTACATTTCTTTTATATTCAGTGTGTGAATTGGGAGTAATTATAAATTTGTTCCTGTCAAATAAAAAACTTTGGTTCTTCTTTCTTTCCTCTTCAGTGGGTAGGATCCTTCCTTCGGGGTCACCTCCCTGGGTTTACTCCTCTTCAGGAAAATGAGGGAATGGGTGGGGCAGCGATGAGCACGGCTCTGCCGTTTGCGCAGCGCGTTTGCATGTACTGCGTTGGATTCTCGCAGGGGCCTTCTAAGGTGGGTAGTGATTTCCTTCCCATTGTACAGGATCGAACAACTTGGCCGGCTATGGGGCAGAAGGAACAGGCCTGGGCCTAGGGCCCTGCCGCTGCTCTGCAGGGTTCTGTACCCCATTACAGGGGTCCTCCCCCTTCCCTGGAGTTGCCTCTGGATCTGGCCCTGGGCCACTGCTGGTGGGATCCTCCTAGGGCCTGGGGAAGCGTCAGATGTGACGCCTGAGCCGAGGGCATAGGGCTGTCCCTCCATGTTTGGTCTGGAAGGGGTGGGGCCCTCAAGACTGGGTGGGAGAGCAGGGAACGTGGAGGTTGGCCCCCGCCCCACTGAGCGCAGGGTGCATACCCCAGCCCGCGTCAGACACTAGGGGCCCCGCAAGCGGAGTCGGCTGCTTCAGGCTTTGGCACCGAGAATCTGTTCCCCGGGCCCTTTACTGCCCCTCAGCTTCACCACCTGTATCTGTTTAGGCCAGGGCATCAGAGCAGGCCGCTGCACCGACTTCCCACAGTCAGACAGACAGACAGCCCAGGTATTTCACGGAATGGACCTGTAAACCGAGTTAGAAGAAACCCATGGAGGCACGCTGTCTGCATTAGCTGGGAGCTGTGATCAGTTCCCACTCAGTCCCAAGCCTCCACATGCAGGTGAGCAGCTTGGGCTCAGAGGAAAAGCAGGATTAGCATTCCGGCTGGAGGGGCTTTGAGCATCCTGGAGACCCTGGGCCGAGGTCCAGCCCAGGGTGGGCCTCTCCGGTCACTAAGACATACCCCAAGCGCCAAAGTCCAGGCCGTATCATTCGGAGGAATGCTCCTTTCCTTGGGATTTTCCATGAGACACACGCATCTGGACAGGACCCAAAGGCTCCCCTTAGATGGCGAGAACACCCATTTGTCCCCAGAAAAAGCCACTGCTGTCACTAAGAGTGCAAACTCCATAAAAAGTCCTCACAGATATGTGAGGTCAACAATTTAGACTTTTTCCTTTAAAGATAATTTATTTCAGTTTCCACCTTCTGACAATCATTGGTGCAATATACAGACAATCTTTTTCTCTGCAGGAAAGAACAGTGCTTGATTTTAGCACTGTTCTGGGATCCCCAACATTAAAACTTCTCAACCTTAAAGTACAGCCGGCACAGCGTCACCTGTGGGTGCTCGGAGTTGTGTGACTGTGACACATGCGAGCCCCGCACCACGTCACTCCACTGCGGGCACCGTCTGGAGGGCGGGGTGGGTCTGGGACACTCGGGGTGAGAGAGAACACAGGGCACACAGGTGCCAGCCACAGTCTCTAACCAGGCAGCCGGCTGACGGTGTTCTAACACATTCCCATAGTTTAAGGGGACCTGTGTCTGTCGTTTGAATTTCTGGCATTTTCTAGTGTTTCAATGTCTGGCTTGTCTTTCTCAAGGTATCTGTGGGAAGGGGCAGCCCCAGGCTTGCCCATGACCTTGTGGGCAGGGGCACTGAAGCCTGTCTCCAGCACAGGACAGACACCCAGATGTCCCCACCCCACTGGCCGTGGAGCCGGTGTCCCCGGAGCACTCCCCTTTCTCTTCCCACACACACGCTGCCACGCCGCCCGGGGCCCAGGAGGGAGCGGGTGCAGCTGCACTCGGGGACTGACCCACGGGGCAAAGGAGGGTTACCAGCAGGGGCCCTCTTTCCAGTTAAGTGCAACCCCGGGCAGGTGCAGCTCAGAGGAGCTCCAGGGGGAAGGGGGTGGGGGGCTCGACCGACTGGGCCTTGTCAAAGCCCGAGTCTGCAGGTTAAGCCAGGACTGGTTCTCTGCCGTGGCAGGTGTCCTCAGAGGGCTGTGAGTCTGTGAGTGACAGAAAGGGCAAAGCCGGACCACAGGGCTCTCTAGCCCCTAAAAACGATGAGTTTCCACAGTAACCAAGAACGGGCACTGGCAGCACAGCCCTCCTTGAGTCCTGGGGACCCAGCCAGCGGGCCAACTTGGGACACAGGCTAACACCAGGTTCCCAGGAGAAAAAGCAGGCTGGCCCCTGGGGTGCTCCTTCCATTCCTCTTGGGGAGTCCAAGACGCCTGGGCCCAGAGGGGCAAGGGAGACCCAGGCCCAGAATGAGGCCTTTGGGAACCTGCCTTGGTCGTAGCCTTGACTGTACTGGCTGGACATGAACAATCTGGAGATGATTCATCCGTTATCTGGAGAACCAACACGTTCCTGCTCCCAGACACACGGGGATAAGGACACGCCAGTCCCATCTGGGGTCTGAACGTGCACACCAATCCATTGGGCCACTTGCAGCCCGTACAGCTGCCCTTCACCATGAAACTTGGCTGAAAGCTTTTTGAGTTAACCTCACCCCCGAGAATCATAAAAAGGAATACCTGACCTGCGGAAAAGCAGAGTTGTACGGGCAATGGTTCAGGAGAACAAAGGGCTGGGTGGGGGTGGAGGACGCGAGAAGAACCACCCTTGGAGCAGAGGGTCTGCGGGGGCCCCACCCAGCAGTTTCGTCTGTGGTGGAGGAAGCTGAGAGAAGAGAGCAGCCTGAGACCACCAGGCGGGGTGTGGCGTGAGGGGGCTCGCTGCCCCCATCTCCTGAGCTCGGGGCGGGGCCTCCAGCCCTCCTGCCTTCTTCCCCTGCCTCCCAAGCTCCCACACTCTGGGCAACGGACTCAGCCCCTACCGCATAGCTGTCTTAAATTCTAGGTAATTTGGTAATCAAGCTGACCTAACAATGGCTCCACCTGGACCCTCCCTAATTAAAAAGCCAAAGGTCAGAGTACAATAATGCCCAGGAGGGCCAGGTTTGCAGCCGGTGGCCTCAACTCCGGTGACTGGGTTAGACAGAACCTGTGGCAAACTTCTTTGTGGAGTGAATGCTGTCCTCCTCACCTCAGGTGGCCGAATACCGGCACCCCGGTGATAAATTAGCCTCATAAATGGTCTGCGGGACAGCGACCCTCAAGCTGCCGCCTGCTCACCACGCCACGGACCCCGCGGCCTCACCGGGTGTGGGGAGGTCGGACAGGAGCCGCGTGCCCTGGCCTCCCTCCTACACCCACGCGGGCTCGTGGGGTCACCCTGGACACCCCGGGTTTTCGTTTGGGCATGGAACTCAGGGGGCGGACTCCTTTTCTAGTCCTGGTAATTTGAGAGCTTCTGGGCCCACTTCTTTCTCTTTTGGCAATAGGACAATCATAGTCGACTCCATTTCACTGCACAAATAACATCAGAAGGAGGCTCTCCGCCCAGTGGTAAACACACGTGCACAGACAGGTGCAGTCCGAATACTACTCTGGCCCCTCCCCATCAATATTGCTGAAACTCTCACGGAGGTTAGAAACATGGACGGCCGCATTTTGACACCATCCTGTTTTCTAAGCAGGGGGCTTGTTACTCGGGAGACTTGTCCCCTGGCTCACTAGGGTTCACGCAGCCCTGAGGGACACACAGCAGAAAACCTGAACCGCCGCAGCTACTGACAGGCCTTCGACGCTCCCAGCTGGGGGCACCCCACCTGCTGGGACTGGAAACACTCTCCTTGGGCACCACCTGGAGCTCCCCCTCCCGCACTGAAGGCTCCTGAGTTTACAGGGCAGGCTACCAGAGCTCCCTTCGGCCAAAGCGTCCTATGTACACACTGGGCTGGGACAGCTCCTCATGCTGGGACCTCACCTCTGGGAGTGTGTCCCATGTCTGCTCACCACCAGAGCCCCTCACATCTGCACTGGCCAGGCCCCGGAGGGGAGAGGCGACGTCTCAAGGGGAGAGAGAGGAAATGCCAGGGAGGCATGCTGTCGGCCTCCGCTACTCCAGGTGACACTGGCCAGAGGCATCTGGAGGTGAAATGCTTGGCCACAGGCAGCTGCCAACAGGAGGCAGAGCAGCCTGCGACCCCCCTTGGCACTAGTCACACCAAGGGGGACCCACGGTCAGCGTCTCTGCCAGCGCCCCCTTGTGGGGCTAAGTGTGGCAGGCAGCCCCTCTGGGGCCAACTCACCCACGCTGAGGAGCTAGATCTATGAGGACAAGGAGTGAGTGGGGGTGGGCAGGGGTGGGGGGGACCAAAGCAACTTTTGCTTCCTCCTCCAGCTGCTATTTCAAGAGGCCTATTGATAAAAAAAGAAAAAAGTCTCCAGATCATTTGTGAAGGTAAAGTGCTTGGAAAAGCCCAAAGAAGCAGAGGCTGCATTTCCTTCCAAAGGCTGTGTGCTCCTGCCCCGGCCCGCCAGTCCCCCCGAAAGTCTGCAAATCCACTCCTTTCTCCTGAAATCAGACCGAGTCAAAACTTCTGCACACACTCCTTATCTGTACAAGGATGAGTCTTTTGGGAACCTTTAAGTCTTAATGCATTTCAACTAACTACTAAGAAGTGACTAATAAAGCCAGTGAGGGCACTAAAGGGGGGCCCCAGGCAGCCCCGAGGGGCCTTGGACGAGCCACTCAGTGTGGCCCTGACGTTACAGAGGGGGCGGGGAGTGGAGCACAGCAGCACACCCACAGGTCACGGCTGAATATTTTAGGGGGATGCATTTCCTGAAGAAGGCATTGGAGGCGGAGGGGCCCACACAGCGCCAACTTAATGCCATTTCTCTGAAATGTACTCAGTAGAGACATGCACCATCGCTGGGCCCAACAGGGGGTCTGGGGGTGGGGACACTCCAGCCTGCATGACCTGTCCCTGCACACGGCAAGCAGACCAGCAACACAGCTGTGCTTCGTTTAGTGACATCACCAGAGAGGTCGATGTCATACACACACACATACATGGTCATCAAAACTGAGCCGGTTTCTGAAGCCCTGCCCCCAAGCTCTTTGGGCTGGTGACAATTCACAGCACACGCTCAGACTGTGCCACGTCTCACGGCACCTCTCTGACGATCATCCAGACGTGTGCTCAGTGGCTCAACCAACAGCTGCTCTTCTCGGGAACATTCCAGGGAGGCAACTCCCCAGGGGATCCTCTTGAGCACTGACTAGATACCGCCAGGCATGTATTTGCTGTGCCCCAGGAGACAGGAATGTACTGTGATTTTGAGTCGGAGGAGGCAGTAGGGAAAACGGCACAGGAGGACAGAGAGAGCCCACGAGCCTGTTTCAAGGTCAGTCCCCCAGAGCGACGGGCAGGAGGCAGAGGGGGCCAGGCTGAAATATTTACACTGCAGAAGCCAGCATGCTGAACGCTTGCAGGTCAGACTTCAGCCTCTGTGGGCTGGTCTGCTGTGCCTGACACGCACTCGGGGAGAAGAGCCACGCTTGCCAGGCGCCCGACTGAGACGAGGGGTATGGGCAGAGTCTGTGGGAAAGAGCTCCAGAGGGCTCGGGCTGCAGGATACAAAGGCGCCTCCCGGGAGCGGCTGGGGGTGGGAGGCCCGACGCCCAGAAGCCGCTCCACTGCAGGGCCTCGCGCAGCCACCGGGCGCTGCCTGTGCCCTGCTGTCTGGAAAACCAACACGGATTTCCCTGTCTTCTCTGAAATAAAGAGCAGCACTGTTTGCTTTTAGAAAGGGCGGTGGTCTCACAGCTACTGAAGAAACCTCTTTTCTGTGCTGCGTCCTGGGACAGACAGCCTGACGCTGCTCCCAGGGAGCGGGGGGCAGGACTTCCTCTGCGGCAGAAAGAAGTGGTGGCTGACCGGGAACATCTCAGCTGGTGTGCCGGGGACAGCTCTGTGCTCTCCCACGGGGTGTGCCCCGGCACTGCCCGTGGCCAGGCCCTCTCCTTCCCTAGATCGGGAAGGCGGCGTCTCTCTCTCCCCAAAGTTCCTGTGACTCTGGCTCCTGTCACGCAGAGTGGGGGGCCAGGGTGAAGCCAGCCCCGGCCGTGGACCAACACTGAGAGGGCCACTGCCCCTCTGCCCTGCAGGAGCCCTGACTGTGGGAGTCTGACCTGAAGCGGGGGGTCCCAGGTTGTCATCCGAGATGTCCCGTGTCACGGGTGTGTGCTGGCTCACGGTTGCCCTTACCTACGTTCCCCTGTGCACCTCACCCTCTCTCCCGCCGGGGGTTATGGGCAGACACTGTCCCGTGCCTGGCCTGGCTTCCTTCCTTTTCTTTCAGGCCCTGACACTCAGGGGTATGGATGGCCGCCTCATTTTAGCCACCTAATCCCAGGGACACTTTGGCACGTGAAAGGGGGAGTAGACATAGGCAGAGGGAAGGTGGGGAGAACGGGCCACCAGAGTCTTCTAACCGCTAGTTCTGGGGCAGCGTGGAGTGGCTCTGGGTGCTGCCGATGTCATGCAGGGTCATCGGGTGGGGACAGCCAGTCGCTGGCCCAGGAGAGTGGTGTGGACCCTCGGTCCTCCTGAGGAATGCCTTGGGCGACCTCCCGTGGCCTACTCAGTGGCTATCTGCTCGATGTGGTCGCTCAGCAGCTTGTATTGCTCTGGAAGAGAGACCGGCATTACTTTGGAGAGGAAAGACGGTGGCGCAGACGGGCAGGTCCTGCTCTTCTCACTGGGCAGGGGGGACAAGCCAGGACTGCATCGGGGGCAGTGGGCGTGGGCCTCGGGAGGTGTGAGGGGACCCAGAGCCCGCGGCCCCGCACGCTACGCTACATGTCAGGCGCGAACATGAGCCTGGAAGTGGGCTCCTTGGAAAGGGGGAGCCCCTGCCTGCGGAAACAGTAACACAGAGGACGGCCCCCAGGCCCCCCCGGAGCGAGTGGAAGGCACTGCGTGGGCAGATGGGCTGTGTCCCGGGAGCAGGGCCTGGCTCCTGGAGATGGCGTGGGGGCCATGTGGCAGGGGAGGGACAGTGTCTGGAACTCTGCTGGCGTGGGGGGCACTCTGCCACTGTCCCACCTCCCGAGGCCACTCTGTAGCTCCTTTGCTTCGATGCAAGATGCAGTCTTTCGTTTTTTCTGTTTTTAAATATCTGTCAACCCAAATGTACACTTAAGTGGAAGTCTGGGGACCTTGAGGAGATGCTGTTTGTAGTGAGTGGGACGATGCACAAAGGTGGGTCCCGTTGTAGGTTAGGGGGGCTCGAATCGGCAACATGTCCCCTGTGTTACACAAGCCAGAAACTCTGGTAAACTTCAAAACCCCCTTTCCGCCCTCCCCACCACCCCCACCCGGTCACAGCGGTGCGGCTGGAGAAACAAAGGGGACCATGTGGTGGTCATCTGAAAGAAGGAGGAAATCGTGGGGCATCTGACCATTTTCAAGTTCAGAGTTGGAGCTCCAAGTTCCATCTTTACCTTTGTCCCTGACCAGCGCCCCTGAGCTGGCGAGCTCCCCCACCCCCGGCAAGTCCTTCCCGGCAGAAACGGATTTCCAAACAGCATGAGAAGCATCTCGTGCCTTTAAGCAGACAATCAGAGGAGGGGTGACCTAACCAGAGAGCTTCCTGCCATATTTCTCATTAGAACAGGGACGGCCCTTTGAGCAGCGTGCCTGTCCCTAGCCTGCCGGCCGCTGCCCCTGGCCCGGGCTCACCTTCATCCAGGTTGCCGATCACCGCCTGCTTCTTCAGGAAGTCGTTGCACAGCTTCCGGTTCAGCCCGAAGGCCAGCATGTTGTGAGTGAACGTGCTGCGGGGAGAAACGCCCGTGAACTAGCGCCCCCGCCTCCCTGGAGAGAGGACCCCGGGCCGGGCCCTTCGGTCCTGCAGGCCCGACGTGCAGCCGGCCCGCAAGTGCCAGACGGAAGTTAAAAATAAACGTCGCTTCGTCAGGCAGCCCGCACTGCTCACCGTGAAACTGCCGCTACCAGGTGTGGGCACAGGAGGCGGACGGATTAGGAACTGGAATCCAGGCCAAGTGTAATGAATCATATGCTCGAGCTGTTTAAGGCTTCGCAGTTGTAGCGACACCGTGTGACAACAGATGTGTGACATCGTGAGGTGGGAGTGTCCTCACGGGGTCTAGGTGTCAGTGTCAGTGCCTCTGCCCTGCTTTCTCTTTCTGGGGGTCACTTGGTGTCAGGAAGACACGGGTTTGGCCCCCCCATGTCCTCCGGGTCATGAGGGGTGGGGCTTCGGCCCCCAGTGCTCTTACCCCAGCTGCCCGAACGTGATGTTCTCGTTGAAGCGGAGGCTGTCGTCCCGCTCCTCCTGGGTCATGTGGCACCACTTCTCCCTGCAAGCACAGGTGACAGGACGGGGTGTTCAGAGTGCTGCTGCGGCCCCGGCCGTGTGCCGCGCCCTGCTCTGACCTGCAGGTGTCAGGGGTCCCCGAGCATGGCCTTCCTCCCGCAGGAGCGTCTGGGGCTCTTCCACGGAGCCCGCCAGAGTTCCGACACTCTGCCTGGGGGCCCGCACACGCGCGTTCACGCACCCTTCCTAGGGTGAGGAGGTCCAGGAGCTCACGCCCTTTCTACCACTGGGGAGGACGTGTGCTTAGTGGTTGCTAGGACGTTCTCTAGGAGATGAGGATCCCGTGCCCTTCTCTACAGTTCGAGGATGGGAGGTCAGGGCCCCATTTCACAGGCAGAGAGAGCTGCGGAGGAAAGAACCCTGTGTGCCACCCATGAGGTGGACGTCCAGACCACCGAGAGGAGGCTCTCAGGCGCGAGCTATGTCCCCAGGCCTCGCTGGCTTTGGCAGTCCTGGCTTGCCGGAGAGGGAGTGGCCCGCTGCAGGTGACAGCCACAGGGAGCAGGGAAGTGGGAAGGGCCCTTCGCCCACACAGCCCGGTCAGGCAGCCCGGGCCGTCACTTTCCCCCCTTGGCTTTCTCACAGCCAACGCTGACTCTCCACACGCCTCCCAGAGCACGGGGACCACAGTCATGGTCTCCCCGCAGGCCCCAGTGAGCTGTGACCTGTGCCCGCCAGGAAGATGGTACAAAGCCTCCAACACAAAGTGTGAAGGTCCCAGGAGACAGGGACACGGTCAGTGCGGCCTTGTGGGTGGGACTGAGAACAGGGCCGCCTGCCTGTGTACCATGGGGAAGCACCATGGAGCGCAGGCCCTGGGGAGGGGAGGGTGCTCTTTTGAGTGACATTACTTCGGTGTGCCTGCACGGAAGCCGTCCTCGTCGGCTCCCTGCAGTGGACGGTCTCCCCCTCTCCTTGTCCCCAGTGGGTGGGTGATCGTCCCGCCCTGAGCTCCTTCACCCCCATGTCCCGTGTCTTCCTGAGATGTGTGCTACGTGCAGCAGATGCAGATGGTGAGGAGGAGTCGTTTTCACCTATTTCTCTTACAAACTGAATGCTGCGTGATGAACCTAACGCGAGATCAGGAGAAAGATCGAAGAAGAGGGAGAGAGGAGGCAGGATGAGGGACGAGGGGTTGGGATAATGGAGAAGCCAGAGGAAGAGAACAGAACCAAGAACACCAACATCTCCCTGTCCCGCCTCCTGGCCCAGGGAGCCCCGGCTGCCGCTGCAGCTTAGTGGGGGGTGCAGGACACCAAGGGCACGACAGAGGCGAGAAGGGCGGCCTCCCGTCTGCTAGTGCTGACAACAGGACACCGTGGAGACACCCAGAGTTATGCCCGCAGCTCCTACACCAATCCCACCTTCCCTTAGTGGCCACCCTTAGAGTGGCCCTGGCACAGAGGCCCCCATACTACCTCCGGGCCCCCCGGGCACGGGTGCGCAGGCTGCACCCGGCACAACCCAGACCCCTCAGAGCCACGTGGCACAGTGGCCCTCACTGCACTGCTCCTGGCCCAGGTAAGAGGGTGGTTCTTCTCATTGTGACTGGGAGTCGAACGGGGACCTTTAATCTAACCTCTGAAGAAAGAGGTGGAAGGTCATTAGCAGTCAGTCAATCAAGTAGCAGACAGTCAAATCAACTCCTTTAGATGGAGTCCATCACCCAATACCAGTCGAGGTCTGAAACTCTCAGAGGGCGGAACATGTGTCTAGGCTGCTGCAGTGGGTATCCGGATGGCACCCACAGCCTGAAGGGTGGGAAGCCCATCCAGGTCGGGTGGCTCAGTTGGTTGGAGTGTCGTCCCGTGCACCAAAAGGGGGCGGGTTCAGTCCCTGGCTGTGTGCAAGGCGTGTGCAAGAGGCAACCAGTCGAAGTTTCTCTCTCTCTCCCCCATTACCCCCTCTCTAAAGTCAATAAAAACATACCCTCAGGTGAGGATAAAAAAGAACAGGCAGGCTTCTGGAATGGACATGTCTCCCCTCTGAGAACAGAGAGGACACTGACCGCACCGCTGCCCTGGAGTCACGGCCAACCCTCCTGCTCCCGGCCACGGAGCAACACCTGCTGCTCCTCTGGGTAGGACCTGGGGCGTGTTGGGGTGTCCGGGGGCAGGTCCGAGATGTGCGCAGTCAGACCACATCCGCTCTGCTGGGAAGACGCGTGAGGGCCAAAGGCTGGCCTCCACTCCCGGGCTCAGCACCGACCCACGGGGAGGCCACAGTGCTGGGCCACCGGCAGCCATGCTAAGAAGTGTCACCCCAGGAAGGCTGGTTAATCACCTTCCCTGAGAGACTTTAGGAACTCGGGGGGCTTCTAAAAAAGGAGGTACAGCTTATGACTAAATGCTCCTTTTAGAGCCTTAGTAAGACTGCATAAGAAACAAGATTTCTGGTGTGGCTCAGTGGACTGAGAGCCGGCCTGCAAACCAAAGGGTCACTGGTTCAATTCCCAGTCAGGGCACATGCCTGGGTTTTGGGCCAGGTCCCCAGTAGGCGGTGCACACAAGGCAACCACGCATTGATCTTTCTCTCCCTCTCTTTCTCTCTCCCTTCCAGTCTCTCTAATTTAAACAAAATCTTTAAAAAAAAAAAAGAAATAAGATTTCTCATAAAACAATAAGCACTAAAAAGATATCACTGATTAATGGAAGCATGTTTTAGGAAATTTTCACAGGGGCGATCATTGTATCAGAAATGATATTTTGAATAGGCAAGACTTTAAAAATATATTACAAAAGATGTCCAACAAATACAAAATTCAGACCCCACTGCCAGGAAGTAGCCCAGGTCTAGGCCTTTCTCTTTGGGGACCCCCTCACTCACAGAGGCCCCCTGTTAGGCTGGGAGAGAGCAGCCGCCCGCTCTCTGCGACCCCCAAACCCGCCGTGGTGGGCGAGGGTCTGGCGGACCTCCGCACCCCACTGGGTGTGTGACTGCAGGGAGGCAGGCCGTCTGCAGTGGCCCACGGCCTCCAGGCCAGCACTCCGGGTGACAAGCAAAGCGGCAGGGTGGCCTTGACGTCTGCCTGGAAGGGGCCCGAGCGGCCCAGGAGAGCTTGATTTGCTCAAAGTCGGAGCTGACTTTCTGGACTTCACTGCTTTCTCTTGTCTGAACTCCCACTGGGCCCTCTGGGAGACCGGGGTGCCTTATTTGTTCCCTATTTTGGGTGCTCTGTCCTTGGAGAGGTCTCACCCATCACCAGCCTGTCCCGGCACTCAGCTTGCTTCCCAGGGACACCCTCACCGCGGGCCGCCAGCACGGAGTGGCACCTGGGTCTGGGCTCTGGCCCCCCGCCCACCCTGGGGCGGCCCTGAAGGGGACCCCCAGCACTGTAACATGAACAAAGTCACGTGGACACACACCTCTTCTTCTCCTCCTCTCCAGCATCCCCTCTGGAGCGGCAGCAGAAACAGGTCAACAGAGGAACATGTCAAAGTCATGCAAGATATGTGGATGGAAAAAGAGAACAAGCGAAAGAAGGAGGGTTATTACAGGCAGAATCGGAGAGGGACAGAGCAAGACAGGGTATCGATCGAGGCAGATCTGTCTCCTAGAAGCTGGAGAGCTGAGCCACAGGAGGGACCCCATTCGCCCGCGAGCACCTGAGCATTTCCTTCTGCCTCCTTTCCCGGAAGAGTGTAGAGTCCTCCCTAGTGTCCTTGGGCAGGGTGTCAGTGCTCCCTCCCCCCGCGTGCTCCCTCTGCCTCCCTGGAACCCAGTCACGGCCAACTGCTGGGGCTACAGGCAGGCCATCTTGCTCCGCTCCCCTTGGGGTTGGACGCCACCCAAGCAGGAAGATTTCATCTGAGATTCCCCTCCTGCTAATGGACCGAAGACTTTAACAGCAGGATGTGCTCTCTCTCCTGCCAGGGACAAAGGATGGCTAAGAGGTCTCCCAGTGCTGGGGAAGAGGGAGTTCATTTTGTTACTGAGGACAGGTTCAGAGGGTTCAAAGTCTCAGGACTGGGGGGGGCCCATAAGGGTGCCCAGGGTTGGGACGGCTGCTCCCGCCCTACCCAGCGCGGCACGCAATGGGTGGCAACCTTAGCTCACTGTGACCAGAGAGAACTGAATAGCAGCCCCATGGTATCAGCGCCAACCCCTCACTGCTGCCACGTGCTTTGTGAAATGGGTCACCCAAGGGGTCTTCTGAAGTGGCAAGACCACCTGCAGGGGGCTGGGAAGGGCTGCAAACCAGAGGAGTTGAAAGCAGAAATTGCATTTCTCCAGCTGTTGAAGTCTGGGGGTGGCGGCCAGCCCTGCACCCCAGGACCCTGCAGCAGTGGTTCGTGCACAGGATTCAGACTTCTCACAGAGAATAGAGAGATTGGTGCTAGGGGGTCCTCATGGTCTCACTCAGTGGGAGCCTGCATTTCTTAGGAGGGTCAGGCCAAGTCATGCCAGAGCCCCAGGACAGGAAGCGCTCATGCAAGCCAAGTACCCCAGCCGCCCACGCAGCTCTGCGCCCCGGACACTGCAGGCAGCTTGCAGGGCCCAAGGCCAGACGGGGTCAAAGGAAAAACACAGACGCATGAACTCAGCCGTTTCTTCGCTCTCCTCTTCAGAACAGGAAAAGAAAGCTCTCCCAGGTCCTCTTCCCTGAGGAAAGCCGGCCCGGACTTTGCTCCTACCTGGTCGTGGGGGACCGCTTTCTCCTCTCACAGTGGACAGCGTCGAAAAAGGCTGCGTTCCAGAACCTCAGTGTGTGCCTGCGAGACAGAGACACGTTAATTCTCTCTGAGCGAGGAGGAGAGGGACGGGGGGGGTGGAGTTTCCCGCCACATGGGGGTGATCTAAAAGTCATAGGGCGACAGGGCTGAGAAGAGAAAACAAGCGTGGGCCTCTGTCCTAAATCAGGTGCCTCCCTGGGGCTCCGGGCCAAGCACCACGAGAGCACCTGCACATCCGTCCCAGGTGATGCTGTAGCGTGGGAGAAGGTGGGGCGGAGCTGGGGAGCCCTGGGTTCTTCAGGTCAAAGCTGAAGTTGCTACAGACAGGGTGCAGACGGGGCCCTTTCCTGCTTCTCCGTCTCCCACTGAGGCACCCAGGAGAACGCAGGGGGTTCGGAGAGACCAGCTTTTATAGAATGGGAACCAGTAACACGAACAGGAGCCTGGCAGAGGTGTGCTGAGAGCTGACACATTTACCGGGACACAGAGCAAGAAACATTCCTCTTAGGGAAGGGCAGAGGTCAGCAAACTACTGATGCGGTAGGTGGGCCAAATCCAGCTGCTGCCTGCTTGTGGCAATCCGTGTTTACAGGAACACAGCCCCACCCACTCACTTACAGATTGTCTAACAGCACAGTTGAGTGATTGCTGGCAAAGCCTAAAATATTCATCACCTGACCCTTCAGGACTATTGTCCTGTTGCATCCAATGAGACAGTCCCCAAGTCAAGGCCCAGAGGCACTGGGCTAAAATCGCTGGACAGGTGTGATGGGCTGGTCAGTTCCCACTTCTAACTTCTTCTTGAGCCTGGGCCAGCTCAGGTGGCGCCTCCCCGTGGAGGCTTTTGGCCAGCTCCAGCCCAGCCCTCTGGCCACACTCCTCACTGGCCCTCGTCCCTCAGGGAGACTGTGATCTTTGAGGCAGGCGCACGTCTGATACCCTCTGGGGTCCAGGTGCCGGCACACTGCCGATGGTGCGTAACTAAAACGTGTGGTGAAGAGGCTTTGGAGGGGTCAGAGCCACACAGGGGTCATCCATGGAGCAAGACAGAGGGCGAAACCTGCCCTGACCACTGGCCTCTCACTTCAACCTCAACCTTCTGTATATAAAATAGCTTCACTGGGATATCACTCACACACCATACAATTCACTCTTCTAAAGCCTGCAGTTCGGTAGTTTTCAGTACGTTCACAGAGTTGTGCAGCCACCGCCACTCTCTATCCCCAAAATGCAAGTGTTCTCATCAGCCCATAAAGAGACACCAGACCCTTTAGTGGTCGCTCCTCATTCCCCACTCCCCTCCGCCTCTGGCAGCCACTAATCCACTTTGTCTCCAGGGATCTGCCCGCCCAGAACATTTTATACAAATGAAATTGCACCATGTGGTCTTTAGGTCTGGCTTCTTTAGCTTCGCAAAGCGTGTCCCTGGTCCCTCTGTGCTGTGGCGGTGTCAGCGCCTCATTCTTTTGCGCGGCTGGAGGACTCTCCGTGGCATGGAGAGTCCCACTTTGCGCATCTGTACATCAAATGCCCGTGTAGACGAATGTCAGCGTGTTCCCACCGTTTGGCTATTATGCACAGTGCTGTTATGAACATACATGAAAAAGCTTTTGCTTGAGTACGTGTTTTAAATCTCTTCTGAGTACATACTTAGGAGTGGAGTCCCTGGGTTGCAAGGGAACTCTATGTTTAACCTTCTGAGGACCTGCCAGGCTGTTTTCCAAAGTGACTGCCCCACGTGACCCACCAGCAGCGCACGAGGGTCGCAGTTTCTCTCCATCCTCACTGGCCCTTGCTATTGTTCGTCTCTGCTATTTTGGCTGTCCTCATGGATGTGTGTGACCCTCACTTCTGACGAAGACAAAGGCACATTGGCTGCTGCCCCGTAGGTGAGGGGGTGGGGGGCTTACCAGATGGGCTGCTGCTTCAGGTGCGTGTACAGGTAGATCTTCTCTCCCTTCCTCTCCTCCTCCGGGCTGCTCACAGTCACTGTGGGAGGGGGAGGGAGACTGAGCATGACTCTGGCTGCACCCACACGTTGGTGAACCCCATGGCGATGCTGCTAAGGCCCCTGCTTCTCCCCAAGGGCCATAGAAACGCACAGTTGAAATTGCATGACAGATTTCCTGCTGTCCGTGGATGGTAATGACACTCTCCATCCCTGGCAAGGACCCTTTCTGAGGCAGGGGTCGCTGGAAGGCTCCTGCGCCCTGGGTCATACCTCCCTCCGCTTCCCTGCAATAAGGAGTTTAGTTCCTGCTTCCCCTCCCTAGAGAAGTGGCTTTTCTCAAAAGTTCAGTGAGCAAACGGACAGGAGCTGAGGGTGACTGGGGAGTCCCCTACAGCAGTACTTCCTGTGCAGGGCGGTGGAGCCCCAGGATGGCTAGGAACCTGCTGGTTGGTGCTGCCAGGGAAGGCGGGGCTAGTGGAAGACTTCCACAGGGACAGGGTCAGGAGGAGATAGCTGGGAGGCACTCACCAGTCTTCTGAGGCTTGTCCTTGGGCTTGCTCTCATCCTCGCTGGGGGAGAGAAACCACAGACAGCAGTGACCCTATGACACCCACGCTCTCTCAAAGAAACCATATTACATTGCTGAAAGGGGGATTCAGTGTCATAACCAATGCATACATTTAATGTTTTTTCTCTAAAAAAATTTCTGTTGAATCAGTACTACCTTGATCAATTGCCAGTCTTAGAATTTAGGCTTCTTTGTGCTGTTTTCTCAAATTTAAAACATGTGGACCAGAAAAGGAATAAAGCCATGTCACCTCATTGTAATCAAGCCACTGGAGGTGACGGCAGGGACCCCAGTGTGCCCAGCACCGGCCCCAGGTCCAGAGCTCTTTTGCTGATGTGCTCCTTTCTGTGGAAGCTTTAGTGTCTACATGCCTATTACCAGCCTCCTGAGTGTCTGAGGGAGGGCTGCTGTCCCGGGGACGGGGGTTTCTCTTGAGCCTGCCTTGTTCCTCATCACAAGCTCTCACCACAGTTAGAGGAGGCGGCGGGGGCAGGGGGTTGTAACTTCCCTCCTACCAATTCCCATATGCTTCTCATCCGTCCTGGAAAACATGGACCCACAGGGGACATCCCTGCATGTCAACAAACAGAAGAGCATTTGGAAACCCTACAAAAATCGGGTGGGGTGCGGGCAGGGTATCAAGCTGGGCTGGCAGCTGCGCCTCTTGGGAGCAGCTCTAGGCCCCAAAGGTGCCAATGGGGAACAGATTCTTCCACTAGCAGGCCAGGGCCTCCTCAGCCCCTGGAACTTGATTCGATCTCTGCTGTTTGCCTCACATGCGTGCCTGCCCCTCCCCCCAGTCAGACAGGGATACACACCAGGCCACACTTACTCGTTTTTCCTGACCAGGGGTCCCTTGAGCTTCGTCTCCAGCCCCCCAAAGAAGCCCTTGACATTCTCTGTCTTCGCCGACGTGTTCTTCAGCAGCCTCTCTGCAATGTCCTTCTTCTCTGCTAACCAGCTGTTGGCGGACTTCAAGTAGGAGTCGATGCTCCCCGAGGGCTTCTCCTTGGACTCGGAGGGAAGCAGGTGCGGTTTCCCTAGAGACAGAGAGGGAGTGAGAATCACACTGTGCAGCGGCTACGAGGGAGGGTGGAAAGGAGCTCCTGTTAGATGCTGGAGCCGCTCTGGTGTGGCAGGGAGACCTCCTTCCACAATGGCTGGGCATGGCAGCAGGAACAAAAGGCTCAGAGGCGCCCTGGAGAAGACGTGAGCCTGGGCACTTCCTCTCTCGGGGCGGTCACTAGGCACTGACTGCACAAGGGACCAGCCTGGTGCCGCAGGGGCTACAGGAGAAGCAGGCAAGGATCCAGCCCAGAAGGAGCACACAGTCTGGAGAGGAGAGCAATGTGCACATATATTGAGAGCCCAAGGCAAAGGCAGTAACTTGGCAGTGAGGCCCTGGGCTGGAGGACGAGGCGGGAAGAGTGATGGTAGAAAGAGGAGTGCAGACTCCAGACTGGCTTGAGGGCACCTGGGTGGGTCCTGAAGCCGCTGAGGGAGACAGCAGGAGGAGGGTGTTCTGGGAGAAGGAACAGGGTGAGTGGAGGCAACACGAGAAAGGGCCCTTTCTAAGGGCAGTATGTGGACCTTCAGGCCAGGACGCCCCCTGGATAGGCCAAGGCACTCCCTATAGGTCAAAGGGCCTCCTACAAACCAAAGTGCCCCCTATAGGTCAAGCCACCCCTTTATAGGTCAAGGCACCAGGCAAGATGTTCCCTACAGGTCAAAGTTGACCCCTTCAGACCAAGGAGTCCCTACAGGACAAAGTGTCCTCTACAGGTCAAAGGGCCCTCTACAGGTCAAGGCACTGAGTACCTCCTATTAACTGAAGCTGCTCTGTGTATAGGTCTGACTCAGAGAAGCAGCATCTAGCTGTTCTGAGAGAAGCAGGGGTTCCCATCTGATCCAAAGATGGCCACTGAGTGGCCCAGAACCAAGAGCCTGCCCAGTGGTGGTCTGGCTGAGCTCAGGCAGCCAGAGCAGCTGTGAGGAGGACTGAGAGGGTGGCTTTGGGCACAAGGAGGGGACAAAGCCAAGCTTTAGAAGACAGGGATGCGCCACAAGAGCGAACCTGTGGGTCATGAAGGGAGGGTGCCCCGACTTGGCTCTACTCCACATACAGGTGCCCAGCAACCCCCTCCTTCTGGTGGCCTGAATGAGATTCTGTTGTAGCAGCTTAAGACAGAGAGCCCTCGATCTCCAATGTAGCAGCAAGTTTAAATGGAATGAGCTAGGAGAGCTGTCAGAGCCTCAGCATAAGGTCTACACTCCCCACGAAGGCATCTCTAGCCCACACCTGGGAACCTAAGGTCCCAGGCTGCTCCTTCACCCTCCTTCAATAGCCAACCTTGTGTCATATTTGCTAAAACCTAAAACTGATGTCCTTTCATGTAGCAGTGTCTGCAATGAAATGTCCTGCTGAATATGTTCATTCCCTCACTCCCTACCAGAGGGTGGTTTCCTTCTACTGTGGGGGGCCCGTCACTCGACACCCCCCCCACCGCATAGACCACACCTCCGGCTTTGGGAATCTCACTCCTAGCTCATTCCCTCCCTAACATCAGCTTTCACTGTTTTCCGGAAGCCTGGCAGCTTTGCCTTTAATCAGGAAGAAACCTTCAATTGACGCCATGTTGGAAGTCAGCGAGTCCTGAGTTCCCAGGTGAGCCCTCCAAGTGAGCCATGTCCCCATGGCTTACCGATGTGATAGTAAGTGAAGCACATGGTCATGAGGTTCTTGGCGGGCCCGAAGTCATCCATCTGATGACACCTGAAATGAGAAGCAAGGGTGACTGGCCACATAATCATCCCACTTTTCTTACTGGAAATACATGAAACGAGACCAAAATACTTGGCTAATGTGCTAAATGAATAGCTTACTCCCCACATGCTACTTAGAGAGGCAACAGAAAACCCCCCCTGGCCCAATTAGGTCAGTTACCCACAGGTACACGGTGGGAACTGGGTCTGACTCCGGGCCTGACCTCTTCGTTTTCGAGCTGGAACAGCCAAGGCCAGGGAGCCCGACCCTACGTACAGCAACAAGCCAGGACTGGAAGCCGGGCACTGGGTCTCTGGGCAAAGCGGGCCCTCCAGTCCTGCTTCTTGGGAACTGGCAGTGACTCAGATGACACACTCCAGCCAATGGTTCTCAGACGGAAGCAGCATCAGAATCACCGAGAGGGCAGGGGAAGCTGTGGGATGCTGGGCCTCCAAAAGGCGTGTGGTTTATAGGTCTGGGGCGGGTCCCGAGAAAGCACATTTCTAACAAACTGGCTCGTGAAGCTGATGTTCTGAGGCTCCAGGCCCAGGGATGGTACGTGAGAACCACTGGGAATACAGAGGCCTCCCTATCCTATGTCACTTACTGAAAATCAAATTACGATGTGCCAGAACCTTTTATATCTAAAGAATGTTCTACAAATATAAAGAGTTATACTGACTATATTATATTATGCTTACTATATTAAACTTTATAAGATACACGGAGATCTATTCAACTTAGCAAACAATAAAGGGAGAAACTTCACAAGGAGGGCCGGTCTGCCACCAGGACTTTGCACGGTGACAGGTGCCGACGCTGCAGTGATGTCCCCTGAGGCAGTGGGAGTTAGAGAAGAAATGAAGAGGGATAAGCTCAATGCCATTGACAGTGCTGGCATTGAATAAATTACGCTGCAGTGACATATTACAATACTACACAGCCATTGCAAGTGCAGAACTGTAGGTAAATGTAATGCCGTTTTGAAAATTTGCTGATATGTGCATCATTATGAGAGGTTTTTATTGGGAGGTAGATCTAAAGTGAGAGAAAAGGGAGTGAAAGAGGATTTCCTTTTCTTTTTTTTTAAATAAATATTTTATTTATTTTTAGACAGAGGAGAAGGTAGGAAGTAAGAGAGGCAGGGAAACATCAGTGTGTGGTTGCCTCTTGTGCACCCCCTGCTGGGAACCTGGCCTGCAACCCAGGCATGTGTCCTGACTGGGAATTGAACCAGCAACCCTTCGGTTCTCGGGCCAGCGCTCAATCCACTGAGCCACACCAGGCTTGCTTTTTTAAGAAAAAAGAAAGGGCATGGCTTTCCTTTTTATCCCAGGCTTCTGTCTACCTTTGCATTCTATCCCCCTTTGCACTTTTCTTTCCAGTTTAGATTTTAACCTTGGACAAGCAACACTTAAAAAAAAAAAGTCAACCAGAATGATCCAGACAGTGGGTTTAGGCCATTTTTGTCAATCTTTTAACATAAAAATAATTTAATAAACTTAGAGAACTGAACTACTAATAAAATCACAACAGACTAAATAAGAGTATAAAAACTAAAGATACTAATCTTTTGCTAATTTAATATTATAAGTCATATTTTAAAAGTAATAAATATTTCAAAATATTATGAAGTTTTATATTATTTTGTTTGTAACCATATAAAAATACAATATAGATGCTCACAAAGTAATGAAAAGATTTTGTGTTTTGGCAGAGCTGAAACTTGAATTTAATTTTTCCCTCAATTTTATTTATTTAAGGAAAACTACAATGGACATTGAGAATTAAATAACTACGTGACCAGGTGAGACAGGCAAATGCACACAAACTACGGGTCCATGAAAATTTCTACAGAAGCAAATGTCTGGAAGTTGAAACGTCTTCAGCACCTGCCAGCATGTTGCACATGAGGCAACCTCGGGGCTGCTTTGCGTGAGCCCCCCAAGCACCCCCAGCTGAGGCGGGCACCCCCAGGTTCCCTGCGGCGGGACTGCATACTGCACGTGGGATGCTCTGAGCGAGTGCAGGAAACACGCTGATACGCAGTTCTTTTGGTCACTTTCCTGCAGGGCATGCACGCCCCATGTTCGTGGGGGGACAGGAGAGGCGACGCTGAAGCGCAGGGACGTTCAGATCTAAGGGAAGAGCTACATTTCTGTTGTGAGAAGGAAGGGAAGAACAAAATGGACACGGGGACACAGGGAGGTGGCCGTGGAATAAGCCACGGGACAAGGATCTGCTTTGAGGCCACACTGAGGTGATGGGGGTGAAGGGGAACATGAGTGATTGTCAGATCAGCCCCTTCCTTTCCTGTTCTGTCTACTGACTCATTAAAGCCACTGCTTGGCTTCCCCAGGCTTAAATGGGTCCCTTAGATCCATCATTTGCAGGACACATTATCACTCTGATGCAGACCTAGAGCCATGGGGCCTCAGGAGGAGAACCCCCTGAGTCCTGGGAGTGCCCCCTCAGCTCATGGAGGCGGAGGGGCCCTGCCCACCACCCCACACTGGCTGAATGCCTTCGTGACTAAAGGCTCCAGCAGCGCCAAATTCCTGCTTGGAGCAGGCTATGTCATCCAATCATATCATTAAGTGGGCAGTTACCGAGTGCGAAGCACTTCACAACAGGAAATCAAGAAAATTCCAGATCTCTGACGGAGGAGGGTAAGGCCAATGTGTGTAATCACAGCCTGTCCTGAGGACCTGAGTGGAGGAATTTACTCACATCCAGCTGCGGTCCTCTATTCTCTGCTGTCAGGTAAGGGTTCTCACTAACTCCCTCCCATGAAATGCTGGTCACGACTTCTCCTTGTAGCTGATGCTGGGTGTATCCCAGCAACTTCGAGCTGATGACTCATGGGGCTGTTACTCACAACTGGGTCATTATGGGGCAGGGCAGGGAGGGAAGCGCAACAGTGTTACTTACTCGAACAGGACCACTGCAAAAGACTGCACCAGGCGGTAGAAGGTCGCCTCTGAGACACACTTGGAATTGCAGCGCTGTCCGGGAAGAGGGCAGACACGTCACCGGGGCAGCCAGGTGGCAGAGGTACACAGCAGCTCAGAGAGGGTGCAGGCTTACCCCGCTGAGCACCCCCCAAGGTAGCTGGGATGAGAGCCCAGGACCACAACAGGTTTGCCCCTGGTTTGCCCCTGATCTATGCAAACCAGGACCCCAGCGCGCGACCGCAGCTCCCTGGGGCTCAGGTAGCTGTTTTCCTGTGTCTCCTCCTCAGGGGACTAAAAACTAGGAACTTCACACACGCACCTACACACGGAAAAGTGTACAGGGACGGGACCCTTAATGACAACACTGGCTATTTCCGGGCTGTAGACTTATGAGTAGTTTTTCTAATTTTGCTTACGAGCATTTCTAATTCTTTGAAGAATAAATTATTTGTGATAAAAAATACTTTAAAAACTAAGAACTTAGGCCACTTTACAGGGAAAGAACCTGTTGGATGTTTATAAAACGTAATTCTTTTTGGACTTACAGGCTGTCATTGTCTTGAATGTATCTCTAGAAAAACTGAATTTTGTGGGTTATTTAATAAAAACATCTCTGGCTGTAACCCACATGCTTGCCTCTGAGAACCTAACGGCTCTGGAATTCCGCGTGGAGGACGGGCCGGTTGGCTTCCGTACTCCTTTCCAGGGAGACGTCCAGGTGAGCCACTGCCCTCTTCCCACTGTTCTAAACAGGCCTGCTCAGAACACCTTGAGGTAAGAGTTACTTTTTTTTTCCCTGTTGGGTCATTTCCCTTGACTGTTTTCTTCTGATTGGAGGAATTACAAAGAAAGAGAGGATGCTACACACCACCAGCCCCCTTCCCATCACCTCTCCTTACCTGGGCGCTTACGAATCGAGCAAACCACTCCCGGCCTTTTCCATTTTCACTGCTGCAGTACTCCCCAAACTTGGCTTTCTCCTCCTGGTCCAAGTCCTCCCTGAAAAAAAAGGAGCAGAGGGAGAAAAAACAACTTTAAATCCTCTGAAATAAAAAAAGGTTAACAGTAGGGGAAGAGGAGAGAAAGGAACGAGTAAGCATCGCGCCCAGCCGAGTACAGCTGCCCGAGCCACATCCGCTCTTCTCACCCTCTGGGTAACCCCTGGAGGGAATGGCGTTATTTCTGCTGCGCAGGCTTGGAGGGTCCAGCGCAGCTGCGGAGGAAACGGGACTCCATCCAGACTTCCTGGCTCTAAAGCCCCTGTTCGTTCTCCCTTGTCCTCCTGCCTCCAGTTAGGTGGTCCAGGCACCAACAAGGGTGATATCCCCCTCCTCTGAGGACTTGGGTCTGTAGCGTAACTCACTAATCTTTGGTGCTAAAGCCAGCATGGACCCACCCACGGAACTGCAGAATGCCTCGGTCTCAGTAGGACACCTGTCCCGATGCCACCTCCCACCAGTCAGAGGGAGGGCATGGTGGCTGATTCCTTGAAGCTTTTGACAAGTCAGTCTGCTGACCTCTATCCAGTCTGTGCATGAGGGGCAGAGACTAGGGGACTGCAGGGAGTCCCCACCTCCAGGGTGGACAAAATGCTCACTGATCTCAAACCACCTCTGACCCCTCTTCATAGGGGGCCAACTCTCCACCCAAGTTTAATGACTACGAATACGAAGTAGGGGCTGAAGATCAATTGGCTCGTGTAATATTTCATTTATTGAAGGTTCTGTAGAAAAAACATCTTGGTCTCATTTATCCTCAAACACCAGATGAAATACAAGAATTTGCCAGCCATTTGCAGGGATTTTTGGAAAGCTCTTTAAAATGCATCCGATCCAGTTGTCCAGGTTCCATACTGCCGACAGGCTGCCGCAAACACAGAGCAGCCTTCCTGGAAAACTGACAAGCTTCTGGGCTTTATTCCCTTTTCATTAACTGGGTGTGCTCGGAGAAATATCCGTCAGTGTTAGTCAAACAAAATAAGTAGGAAGCCACATCTACTGCTGTCCCAGAATGCATTCAAAATCAAACAGAATGCATCTTTGGACAGTCAAACGGTTGGATTATCATTTGAAATTCTCCCTTTTCTAACTGCATGGAAAATGGAGGCGTGCCTCCAAAAGGCAGACGCCAGCTTGGCCAGTTATAAACAAGGGACCTAAATCATGACAGAAAAGAATGCATTCTTTGCAGAGAGTCAACAGGCAGAAATTCTTACTGCTTTAATGAAAATGGACAATTTGCCCTTCTTCCAGAGCTCCCCAGATTGTAATGTGTGCGAGTGGTCTAGCGGCCTTGTTAAAAGGCAGATTCAGACTCAGTGGGGCTGGGTGAAGCCCAAGACTCTGCCTTTCTAACAAGCTCCCAGTGATGCTGGTGCTTCAGGTCTACAGGAGACAGTCTGAGTAGTAAGACCTTTAGCCCCGAACACGCCACTCTGAATGATGCAGGACTACTGGTGAACCCCTGCCACTGTGAATTTGGGTTTGTTTGCCTCCCCTCACTGCTGGCTGAGCTATTAATACATGAGGGTGGACGAGCTAGAGGCCTGTCCACAGATTCCCCGTTCCTCTGTCTGCATTCTAACTCCCACTTCCGCTTCCTGCTGCTCCAATGGGCAACGCTGCTTACCTACCCCTTCAAGAACCGTGAAAGAAAGGCCAGGAAGAGGTGTGAGGAAGAGTCACCATCCTAGCAGCTGCTTAAGGCTCAGCTGCCCAGGAGCATCACAAGAAGCGTGGGGCACTGAAACCTCTTGCCTTCTATTGACTCTAAATTTAATGTCAGCTAATAGCTGCAGCCCCCTAGCCAAGCATGACTTGGACATGGAATGCCAGCAAGAAGCGAACCTGAAAGTGCTCACATCCTGGGAAAGCAGAGCTAGTGTCCTCTTGGATTCAGCAACAATGAGGAGAGAGTGACAGTGGTCACAGCATTGCGGGGAGGGGAGAAGGGGCGAAAATTCCCCAACTGTTTCTACCTGCAACCTGGGGTAGGGTTCTGAAGCACCAGGGAGGCCCATCACTGGCTGGTGAGGGGCTGGAAGCCCTGGCCCCAAGTGACGCTCTTCTCTGGGACAAAGCCAAGAGCAGAGGCCCTGGGGGCTTACCCTCCAGAGAAGATCTTCTCCACGTAGCTGCGCATAAACTCCCTGAGCTCCAGGGCCTCCTCGTCCTTGGCTGACTCCGTGCTCTGGTTGGAAGAGAAGGACTCGTTGGAGGAGGAGCGGTGGTACTGGTCCCAGGATGGGTGTGAGGGCGACTCGCCCATGTCGTTCTCGCTGTCTGCTGACTCTGTGGTCTCACTCTCTGACCCGCCGTCGCCCTGGGAGCTGTCCCCATCCTGCAGCTTTGGTGGCAGTGCCTCCACAGGTGAGGAGGTAGATGGCTCGGTCTCGAAGTCAATCAGTGAGCCCACAGGGACCTCCGGGGCCTCCATGGCTCAAGTGGGCTACCGCAGAGGGTACCAGGTGGGTAGGCCAGAGGACTGGATTCCCGGGAGGGTCAGTGGGAGCTGGTGACCAAGTGGGAGCCTGCCGAGCACATGTGAGTTGCTTGGAGACTCCTGGCCACCAGGAATGAGTCCTCTGGGGCAGCTCACAGGGCCCTAAGGCATCTAGGATGGAAACACACAAACATGATCAGCAGGAGGGCGGCTCTTGGTGTGCAGGAAATTCAGCACTGAGAACCCGGACTTGGCGAGTGAATTAGGTACCCAATTCCCTGTAAAGAGAGGAGGGAACCTCCTCTTCCAGCATGTGGGCCATCTCTACACTACTGTCACTTTCCTCCTGTGTGCTTTACTGCTAAATACCTGGTACGTACACAGTAGGCACTCCATAAGTATGTGTTGAATAAATGAACAAGTAAACGCCAATGATCAGGATTTCTTGTTTGACAGGTAGGTATTAGTATTTTCAAGAATCTCACTAAAGCATAACCCCTGGGGGGTGGGCCAGGCCTTAGCCACCCGTGTAGTAACCTGAGTGCCCAGCACAGAGTCTGGACTAAATAAGTGTTCCCCATGTTTGTTGAATGATGAACAGACCTAACCACGAACATGCTTTGGGGTCTGGAGAGTCGACAAGACAGGCTGCATGGCGGCAGAGCTGTGGATAGGACCTTCCCTTCTAAACAGGCCTCCAGACAGCCAGTTCTGGGGCCCACCCTTCCCAGCGATGAGCGGCAGACAGCAAAGCAGGAAGTACAAACCTCCGGCTGCCAAAGCTCCTCCAGGAAACAGCACAGCTGAACCAGGGCCACATACCTGTTCTCCCCCTTTTACAGACCCGAGAATGTAGGACAATATCTGACAGGCAGGTGGCTGCTGATATTGATGAACTAATGCATCTGCTGAGGATAATTCAATATCAAAACTGCATCTACTCTGTGTTAAGAGCTTAATATTCATAAATTGATTACAGGTTCCTCCAAATTCCCCAGCCCAGGATATTTGTAAATGCTCTGGGTCAGAAAGATGGAACTGCTGGCTCCTTGTCATCGGAGTGGCGGCCACCACCCTCAGTAGAGTCCTACAAAGCTTGCCTTGGTCCGAAAAAGAGATGTGTGAAAGAACTCTCTGGGCCAGGAGGGCAACAGGGGCTCTCAGGAGCTCAGACAGCAGCAGCCCACTCCACTCAGAGGGCTGGGGCAACGGAGTGGCAGGCTGGGGTCGGGCGGCCCCGGCTCCCCTCCCACTGGCCAAGTCGGTGAGTCACGGCCTCTGCTCTCTGGGCTGCGTCTGCCCCTCTAAGACAGTGAGGCTGCTCCGATCTCTGAGGCGCTCCTGGCGGCCACATTCCCAGGCTCTCCAAAGACCAGAAGGTCACACACACAATAACACACATGACATTAAAATGGACACTCACACACCAGGAAAATGTTTGTAGCCACTACGTTAGGAAAATTGAATCAATCAATTAATATGATAAATCGAGCCAAATCCAACTAAAAATAGATATACTAAAAAAAAATCCACATTCTAATAAATAAACAAGCTACTCAAATAGGTAAGGCACACAAGAGGAAACACCGTTATGAAATGCTTCAATAATTCCTCGACCCATACTAGTAACCACATATATAGATAGGTAAATTCAAATAATTAGGTACCATTTTATACTACTAAATTAGCAAAAATCGAAAAATTATCATCCAAATGCTGATGGGGTTATGATAAAATTAATATTCTCAAACAATTCTGGTAATAGGGATATATATTTTAGAAAGCAATTTCTATAATTCTTATTTTTCTCTCTCTGATCCAGAAGTTTAAATGGTTGGAGTTTATCCTAAGAAAATAATTCAAAATACTGAAAAACAGTTATTTGAAGAAAAATGCTCACTGCGACAGTATTCCTAATCCTGATAAATCTAAATATAGTAAAATGGCAGATAAATTCTAACGATTTGATGCAATAGTAACCAGTGCACATGCAATAAGGACACAATTAGAACACCACTGAATGTTCACTTCATAGTTAAGTAAACAAAATATTTCACAGTCAACAAATAATTACTTAACCCTACCACACACCACCCTCTGTTCCGGGTTCTGAGACTACTGAGTGAATGGGTTTTAACTTTACTATAATTACAATCATGTGTGAAAAGGGACCAGAAAAGAATGAACTGCGTTATAGGGTTGGCGCAGAGGCAATCTCCCCTTTTTAGTGTGTTCTTTACTACAACAATGCAGTCTGCAATAAATAAAAATTCAGAGGAAAAAGGGAACAAGTATCTTGCAACAGTTCAAGTGGTCGGAAGGGCTGTGTCCATTTACCAAAGCAAAACCCCCACACAGCACAGGACAAGTCAGATCAGACCTGACTGTCATGGCTATTTCTGGTCCAGCCTGAGGCTAGTGAGCAGCTCTCCCAGTGCCTCCCTGGCTAGAAAATTCTAGGAGCGTATGAGTCATTCTTTCCCAGAAGCCTCTTCTGTGGGCTCGGGAAGGAGGGGACAAAGTGAGACTGACAGGCACCAAGGGAGGGCCCAGTCCTGAGCACCATGATGGCACTTCAGCCTGCGAGCCCTGGGGTCCCATGCACCATGGTCATCTCACGTCACTGCCCCCAGGGCCCCAGCCCAGGCGTCTGGTGTCTCTAGGGAGAGAAGGCAGGGATGCCAAGCCTGTTCACAGAACTAACAGCAGGGTACAGGGGCTGCTTGTACTAACGGCCTTGAAGCCATCCCACCCTTTCCTCCAGGAAGGAAATGTATGTGATCACAGGCCTCTGTGCAGGACAGGGTGACGGTCACTCTGAGCATGCCAGGATCACGCACTTCAAATGACTACCTGTGCTGGGCCAGCCGGAGGGCACAGAGGAAGTGAGCCCAGCAGGGACTGACCTCACTGGCTGTGCTCAGGACCAGCCAGGTGCTGCTATGCAGAACCCTCAGGCCCAGTGGTATCAAACCTGAAGAGTTTTATGGAGAATGCTGAAACCTACTATGTGAAATCTTCCAGTTCTTCAACTTTGGCCCCTAATTTAAACTTACTTCACAAGACGTTGCGGGCCAAAGAAACCACATCTGTGAATTGCCCCCCCAATCCACTTGCTTGCTTTGCACACAAGGAGGCCCCCATACCCACTTTGGATCCAGATTCTGAGACTCAGGGCTTCAAACCATGGCGGAATCTCAGGAATTCCAGAGTGTGGATGTTAAAAATGCCTTTCTACAGACTGGAAGCAGAACAGACCTTCCCACACTTGCACTTCTACAGTTTATTTCCTAAACCTTATGGCACAAGTTCCTACCAACCAAATCAGGCTAAAATTCCAAGTCAACCTGTAACTTCCATTGGCTTTAAACATCTATTCAGTCAACAAATATTTATTGAGCAGCTGTGTGCATCGACTACTGCACAAGGAGCTGGGAACACAGTCATGAACAAGGCCGTGTGGAGCATCTGCTTGCGTGTGTCTGTGTGCTGGAGGGGTCGGGGAGAGAAAAAGACAGTTAATAAAATAAAAATGCAGAGACAGTCTCAAGGTGATGCCCTGAGAGTGCTGGGAGGGGAGGCTTCTTTGGATGGGGGGTCAGGGAGGCAGATACCTGAGCTAAGACGGAAGACCGGCCGGAAAGACTTGAGGGTCTGCTGAACAGAGGAGAGTGCTCTGGGCAGAGGGAAGAGCCTGCACAGGGGCCCTAGGCAGTGATGACTTTGGAACGTTTGGGAACTGGTAAGGCCGATGAGGTGGAGAGTAACTGCTCTCAGGGAAGAGGTTGGCCAGGTGGGCTGAGCCAGAGGTGCAGGGAGGGCGTGCCCAGCACGGTGGGAGCCTGGAATGCGTTCTAATGATGTAGGGCAGCCATGGGAGGGACTGAGCACAGGCAATGGTGGAGAACAGGAGAGCAGAGGGGCCAGGGTCACATCCTGGAGGGAAGTTTTCTGACCTTTGGCCACTGCCTTCCACCCAGCCTTTTCCCGCCACAGCGGGACCAGCTGCAGAAGGAACTTGGAAGAAGATTGCCTTCTTGTGGCTGCTTAGCCACACCCCAAAGGGGCTTTGCTCAAACTCTGATTTCCTCAACATCCCTGGGCAACCAGAAGTAGGACTTCCCTAGCAAGTTGGCCTTGAGCAATCAGAGGAGGTTCCCTGGGGAGAATTCAGACAACCCCAGGCACCTCTCTCTCTCTTACTGGCCCAAAGAACTATCAGACCTGCTGCTCCTCCCATAAAAAGTGAAGACTGTGAAACCTCTCTGGACCAGCACATGTAACACACAGGGGCTCATGTTCACCTGGCCTGCCTCCCCTCTCGCATCAGTAAACCAGGGCTTGGAGAGGTGAAGCAGGGGCCCACCTATGCCCAGCTTGGATGGCAAAGAGCATGGAACCCAAACACAGCAAAGCCCGTGCTCCTGCCCACCATGCCGCCCCTGCGGCTGCCTCCCTGATGCTCCCCCGAGCATACGTTTCTAGAAGTGGAGCTAGGGGCTCAGAGGTGTGCGCCCTATGAAGGCTACAATGGCACCCCCAGATTACCTCCTCCAAGGTCTGTACTGTGGGGTACATATACTCAGGTTTCACATGTGCACCTTCATTTCAACTGTAAGGTCAAAACACCGCCATACCCCAAACTCAGAACCCTGACCTGCTTGTTTCGCTCTCAGGTTAAATGCAGGGCACTGCATAGGGAAGGCAGGTGCGCTCTGAAGACGACAGAATCGGGACTGGTGAGCCAGAACACCCCCAACCCGCAGCAGCTGACAAAGGCATCTGGTTTGATTACTTTATCTCATGACTGGCCCACACAAAGGAAAGCCAACCTCTTCCCTGAGTTTCAGCTCCACTCCGTCAGGCTGAAAAGGTCATTTAAATCTGTACTGGTTTCCTATTTTTGGAAAATGTGAATTTGAATTTGCTTGCCCTAATCGTTTGGATTATTACCAAGACAGATGAGCTCACACATAGAAGGTCTTAGAAGCAGCACACAGGGAGATAGGGAGCCAGGCTGGCCCTTCCCAGCTCACAGGGGTGAGCTGCACGAGACCCCTGTGACAACGTGCGACTGCTGAATAAAGAAGCCAAGGTTGCTATTATCAGAGCAGTTGGTGATATCCAAGCGTTTGATGCTTTCTAAGGCACACAAATATGTAAAAGCAGTT